CTGAAAGGACACATACAGAAGGGTAACTGTATTGCTGCCTTGCAAATACATTTGGAGAGTCTTCTGGAAAAAGTTGGGCTAGAAAAGTTTTAGGCTCTCTTCGGTCATGTTTGTAACCTGTACCCAAGTGTTCCCTGGGTAGGTCAGAGGGAAGCAAAATGAATCCATTTCAAAATTAATTGTAAACATACTGATAACCTGTTATTCTCTAAGCACATTCTACACACAGCCATGGGACACCCTGAGATGCTCCACTCCATAAACATAAAAGAAAATACTCTCTATATATACAGTACATTTTCTCCTTGCCTTCACTGATATGGGTTTGGCAGGAAAGATTAGTAGATGAATTGTTTAATTGCAAAGGAAGCTTGAAATTACTTTGCACAGAAATTAGATATTTGCTTCTTGCAAAAATAAAGCTCACTTCCTCTGCAACAGGAGTTGAAGAATTAGCAAAACCACTATGCCAGGGGAGTATGCCAAAAACACAGGCCAGGAAGAACGTCCATAACTGCCAGTGCATTATATTTAATTGTACAAGTAATTCATATTTGCTGTATATACATTTGCTATATTTATTACCTATACAAACTACCATCTTTATATGTGTACATTTACAAGAGAATTGCTGCTTGTAGCAGAGACCTGAAGAGCACAGTGCAGGACAGAAGCTCAAAGGGGCCGTGGGCACACACATCACGTCGTGTGTGCACCGGCACTAACACCGGGAACTGCGAAACAGAGGAACTCAGGATATTGGTATGGGACACAAGGCACCAATTAATGATTCTGCTCAAGCTTCTACAAGCAGCAAAACATTTGAGAGGTAAATGAATCAGTGGTCTCAGGACAGTTCTGTGAAACAGCTCCATCACAACACCATGCTCAAAACCTGACTTGCCATAAAGACCTTGAATACAAAACCTGCCCCTTCAGAGCTCACAGGTGGCTTGTTCCAAGAGTAAAAGATGCTGCACCAGCCATAGCAAATACAATATCCATTTCTTTTAGTTAAGATATATGTCAAAGCCTGCAGCTCTCTCCATCTAAACTTCTCTCCAGCAAGCACTTCCATAAAAATAGCAGAAGAGGACAGGGCCCAATAAATCCAAGCAGGTTTTCCAAGGCAAGTTACATGCCCTGTTCCAAAGATGCTGCAAGTTGTTGCTCTACAATTTTAATCGAAATAAAGATAGTTTTAGAAAACAAACCCCCATGCTTTTACTCTTTCTAGGTTACATGACACTTGGGAGCAAACATGCTGAATGCACCACAAAATGAAACAGATGCATTTAAATACGGTGCTCAACACAAAAAGTGTGCACTTTGTTTTTTCCATCGTGTAAGTGGAGAAATATGTGCAGGAATAGTTAGATTTGGGCATAGAAACAGGAGATCAGCTGAGGATTTTACTGCTGGTGTTGGCACTAACTCTAATAATAAATATGACTTCCAGGACTGCTTTATAGTTTGACCATTACTTTGGCTATAAGCTGGGTATATATTTGTGGGTGTACTCCCAAAAATCAGAACAGAAAGGTACCTGTGAATGTTTATGCTTCCTGTCTGATGCTGTGAGCTCCTCAGGCAAAAGCTGTACACAATTTTCATTCCATCTACCTAATAAGTCCCCAAACATTTAAAGAGCTTACAAATATCACACAGTCCCTGTGATTAACACAATTAACGTGATACAACATTTGTCTAACTACATGTCTAAATAAATAGGCAATACACAGTCTGGCCATAGGAAAACAAAAATACATGCTACTCAAACTATTTTAAATCATCAAAAACAGACTAATATTGCTATGAAATTGCAATCTACTGTCAAAAAATATTACTAGAATATTAAAGAACAAGACATCACTGAAGACAATGAATTAGAATTAACTAGTCTAGTATAAGAGTTAACCATTTTCAGAGTAATTTTCAAATTTTTCTGGCATATTGGAAAGAATACCTATGCTTCCACTGGGGAAATACTGCAGCAGACAACACCCCTTACCAATCAACCAGGGCTCAACTGTAGCCTTCAGGATAAAAGAAAGGGAACACACCTAAGGTACTTTAAACTAGTGTCACACAGCAAACCAAAGTAAAATTAGTTTTGCTTCCTTTCACCAAACAATGGTCACCTTTCGAAATAATTTAAATAAAAGACATACAGTTTACCCAAACCTTAAGGTAATAACTAGAGGTAGCTATGCAGTAAAAGAATTATGCTGATATTTATTTCTTTTAATGTATGCAGAGACATCTCAAGATGCTTTCAGGCATCAGACAAGCTATAAAAAATACACACTGTATACAGGAAGTGAAGCTAATTCTCTCTTTAAATAATGAAATACCACAGTGAAATGTAACCAGCCTGCAATCTACTCTATCAGCCCACCTGCTTGCATGCAATCATGTAAATACTGTATTAAAATACCCAAAATACAATTACAGTTAGCTTCTAGACACTAAATCTCTTCCATCAATTACCAAACAACATTAAAGCAGGAGGTAATTGGTTTACAGTCATTTATCCTGGGCCCCCATACTGCCTAAGTCCCAAATAACACCTCTTTTCTGCAAGATGGTTGTCAAGAGTACCAAGCTCAGAAACATCAAATGTAATTAAAAGCTTCACAGCACTGTAGCTCTCAGTCGATGTTTTCTGACTAATCCACAGAGGAAAATATGGTACTTTCTTTGCTCACAAATCCTTGGTTTCTACCCAGTCAAATCAGCAATTCCTTAGTGCTCTTAAGCATTCTGTTTTCTGGGTAATTCTCTGTCAAAGAGAGAAACTCAAGATGTCCTCCGGGTAATTTTGGCTCTTGCTGAAATATTATCTTTACCACAGCAAAGGTACTGACTCAAGTTATTGAATGTATGAACAAGAAAGAAATTGCTGTTAACAGTCACTACACTAAATGGATTTAGTACAGAGTATTACGAGCTGGGTTTATCCAAAAGACATAATGGAACATTGTGACTCACGGTATGTACAGCAAAAATGCTCCATTTCACACATTTCAACAACAGTGCAACACTACCGGTTTAATTCATATATGATTCAAAACAACTGAAGTGAAATGAATGTCACAAGTGCTGAACTTTTAAAATTAGTATCAGTGAGAACTTTGTAAGTTATTCAAAATAAAAAGGGTGAAAAGTGATGTAATGACCATAAGCATAAACCAAGTTTCACACCTATATATATACTCCATTCTAGTTTTAGCCAATAATCTGTGAAAATAAAGCCCTTCCTCTGAGGGGAGAAAGGAGCACTAGTTTTAGTACTCTTTGAACAAGGGACATGCAGAATAAGCGCACCGTGTAACAGCAAATGCCAATGAAGGAAACAGAATTCTAATTTGTGTCATACAGAACTGCCCTGTATCTCAGTGTCCTCTCTGGAATAGCAAGCCAGGGCCATGACCTATTTGTTTGCAACCAGAGCATTGCTACTTTAGGTTTCATCAAACACTACAATGTGAAAAAGCAGGGCACAATTTCATTTCACGGACTGAACCTGAGTGTTGGGACTTTTATTTCACAGACAGGCTGTAGGAACCCAACACATGGGCCATGTCTTTTCTCTCTCCTGCTTTCTTCCCACTGCACCTTATCATGTCATCTTCCAGCCTTTTAAGTACACACCTGCTATCAAAGGTTTTCGGGCACCCCATGGAGTACAGAGATATTCTTATGGGAGAAAAACCGCTTGTTCAGACCACAGTGAAATGTTTTTGAGCTGTACGTTCTTAAAAAATCGTGTAGGAATGCAACAAACCCAGAAAAACTCTTATCAAGTCATAATCCACTCAGATTATCTTGTTACAGCATGTTCTGCTTCATACAGGGGGCAGGGGGTAGGGAGGGGGAAGAAGAAAGCAAAAAAGGCGGGAAAAAAAGACAATAGAACTTGTTGAAATTACTACTGACAGTAATAAATTTCAGGAGGACCACATTTTGTACGTCCTTCTTTTACCATGCATTACTGCTTCTTACTCTCCCCCTCTCATATGAGACACAATCCTTAAATACCCATTGTCCAAATAAACTGCAGATAAAAGCAATAAACGTTTTCTATATGGTCTGTCTCCCAGTGCAACTACACAATATCTGCTGCTGTTTACTTAACTATTTGACTGTGGCCAATTAATTTATTCACTCAAAATGTAATAAATCATTATAATCAGAAAATAATTTAATTATCATTATCAGCAGCAATGATTATTTAAGAACTGAATAGTTATTTTCATATAAAAGAACAATCTAGATGAAAATTAACAGCTTGAGCAATCTTGAGGAAAACCAAAAAAGAGTTATTTTTTTACAGTTCCATATTTTAAAACTGGCAAAAGTGAAATGAGTGCATCATTAGGTCTGAGGGTACATTCATGTGCAGATGAACCATTCTCCAGAAAAGGCCAAGTGACATGGAGTTCATTATCACATCTCTCCATTCCATAGGCTAAATATTTTAACTCTCATGACTGAAGTACAGCTGACTTATAAAATCAACTACTACAATGTACCCACAAGTATAATGAATGATGGTAATTTACACTGATACCCCATTACCACTAGGGCCAGAGTGACAGATTTTCTGCAATTAAAAGAAGAAGTGTTCAGTGATTTTTTTTTCTCTGCTGAAGGTTTGTGGTAGCTGTAATTTATAGTACTGTAATACAAAACACACAGAATTTATTTTTTACTTCCACCTATTAGGCTCTCACGATTCTCCATAGCAATTTGTTGTGATTACTGGATATTAAAATTTATTTTTGGCCCAGTAAATACAAACACAAGAAATAAAGATTTACATTTCTAAGAGAACTCAGAGAAACCTGAACTTCAATTATAAATGTCACCCAGAAGTAAAAATATGTGCAGCCAGCATAACAAACAGGCACTTATTATTTTTTACTAAGTACTTGGGTTTACTTTACCTAGACCTTTACTACCGTACAGAAAAGCTTCAATACGACCAAATAACATACTTGGTAGCAAGTTTGTAGTTTTCCAAATCTTTCTTCAAACTCATATTCTCAGCCTGCAGTTGCTGGTTGTGGGTGTACACAGTTGGAACCAACCCAGCATCTTTGACTGTGAGCACACCCCTCTCTGTGAGTTCATACCTAGGAGAAAAGAAACAGATATATTATTCCACATTTCCATTTTCTCACTTCACTGATGTCTGCCTTCTCAAGCTACCATTTACCTACAGTAGAATCACAAGGACATTTATCACCTCAAGGCATTTACCTTTTATGATCATTAACAATTCACAACAGTATTATCCCACCACATTGTTCTATTTTACTGCTTTTCATTCTAAAATGTGTATTGTTCATAATAGTCATGACAGATAACACAGTACTTAAAATTAAACAATTCTTCCCTTCCTTTCTTTTAAATAGCTTAAACCAAAGACAGAAACAAATGTTCTTTTTCAAAGAACGTTTGTCCTTTTTATCTCATATGCTTAAATATAGGCAAGATTATTTTGTTAAGGACTCAAATAACCCGCAGATAGCTCAGAATCCGTGATCCTCATTATCTTGAACCTGGAAAACAGAGCTCATCTAGGGAAATTGCTTCATTCCTTCCTGTTTACTTATTTTCCATCTCCTTGTTTAATTATATTTACCAATATTTACCTATTTTACCAGCCCCTGAGAAAACACGATTCCGTGAGGTAGAAGCCTGAAGGCTGCTTTAGTTAAATACTTGTACAGACTAACTTGGATTTTGAGAAGTAAGAGAGACTCTGAAGCAGCCTGTAATGCTGGGTAACAACACAGGAATCTCAACAGCCCCAGCAATAAAATCCACTCACTGAGTATCATATTATAGGACCATCCATCTTGTGGCAGTATGTCAGCAAAAGCTAAGGACACAGGACAGACAGAGCGAGACCCCAGCCATGACATCAGTTCATAACAGGTTGAATGGAGTTATAACTAACTTAAATCAGACAAAAACTATAACCCCACAAGCACCTTCCCTGCTGGGAAGATGTTCCGGCTGAGAACTCACTAGAAGGATCAATATGAACATTATTTGCCTTCTCAGGTGAAAAATACATTCAGTCTGTGCATTACTTGGTTTCCAAGTGATAAGGAAGTATGAAAAGAACAGCAGTAAATAGAAATACAAAGTATATTAAATGCTGTCTCCCACACCTGGGCAATAGCAGCTGATCCGAAACCCCAAGCCAGTAAGCACAGCATTCCTTGATCATAATCATGTGGCACAAACAAAAAGCATTTCTAGAACAAGGGATTCTTACTTGACAAGCAACATTTACTTAACATCCCACAAAAAGCTTACTTGTAACATGAGTAATTCTGTCCAAATGACTTCCTACAGTCATCTCCTTATCTGCATTCTGTGGATAGTTCTAGGAATGCTCATCCCTATGAATTAAGCTGTCACATTCACCACCACTAGATGAAAGGTTTTTGAAAACTTAAACGGAACACGTCCAAAGCAAAATTCATTCTATCATCACTTCATTTTCTTAAGTAAATTACAGTAGGAACAGGCTTTAATACCAAGAAAGCAGCTTAGCTGTTTGTTTTTTTTCAAATAAACATTGACTGATGCACAGGTACAATTTCTACCAGAAATACTGCACATAAGGGCACCTCTAATGGCAGAAAATAACAACTCTAAATGCTCCTTAGCTTGCCACTGAATGCCTTAACTACACTTCATGAAAACCATCAAATTTCTGCCTGAAGACTCAAACATGGATAATTGATGAACTTTGACTCCGGCAGAGCTAAGGACCCTGAAAGACAATTTCCATGAAACACAATTAATAGCAATAAACTCACTACGCCCTTGTCTAAGAACACTACTAAAAATGAATGCTTTGTGCATGTAGCAGAAATGGAAAACCACACAACAAACTGCACTGTGACATTTCATTCTCTTTAATCAACCTAGTCCTGTAAAACTCACAGACCTCCTACAGACCGAGCCAGCTGCCAAAGAGCTCTTGTTCTCACTTCTTCCCGTTACACGTGGAAATTAAATCAGCCCTCTGCACACACAGGTATTTTACGCAGCTTCTCAGAACCACTGAGTTATTATTCTCGAAGTGCTATTTAGAATTAACAAATAATCTGGAAACTAAAGAACAGATGGTTACCTATGATTTTGTGGTCAAAGCCTAGTGCGGACTGACTAAAAATATGTTATTACTATAAACATTACATTATAACTCCCAGAAACTTGAACTCAAAGCAATCTTGTAGCAGAGAGGCCCTGGGATAAACTAACTGATACCTAACTCAGAATATCCCTTTACCAAGGGATAGCTCACCTAGAGACGCTTTCAGGGATTAAAATCTCAACTTTTAGCTTTTACAGGAACTTCTCACTGAAAATTATAATCCAAAGAGATGACAAAACTACAGTTTCAACAGATGGCTAACATATGAGCACAGTAAAAATAAAGCATTTATTTCATGGAAAATTAGATAATAAAAAATTAATTTAACTTTAAAGTTCATTAAAGTATAACTGGAAGAAAAAGGTTCATGTGCAAAACAACTTATATAAGTCAAAAAAACCCAATCACTACAAGTGTGATAAAAGTATTCATTACTTCATAGAAAAAAGTGGGTTTGGTTTAAAATGAAACATTATCAAATCACATTTTAGACAGCTGGATAGAATAACAGAATGTTTTCCCAAACTCTGAAATAAACACAGATAATTCAGTCCAATTTAGGTGACCTTCAGATCTCAGACAGACAATAATTTCAAAGCAAGCCTTTTGATAAATTTTCTCTACAGTAATTAATTTCTCATTTTAAATTCCATTAGTACTTGATCACCACAGCATGAGAGCAAGACTGTCATCCCAATACATAACGAGGAACCCAAGTACACTAATCTGCTCTCACTTTCATTAATGTTGTAAATTATCTATTTCAAACCAACATGAAACCTTTTGAAATAAGGTATTAATGCAGTAAGGCTCAATACAGCAAGATTAGATACTGACATGCTGAGCTCATTTGTAAAACTACTGAAATTAAAAATATTACTTATAGAGAAAAAAATATATGTATAGCTAAGGATTTACAAGATAGGGCCTGCTAAGACCTGCACTTACTCTGTTAAAAAGCAATTTGAATTTTGCCATTGATAGAAATTCAGACTAAGTGCTTCGAAGAAAGTCATAGCTTCATAAAAAGGTCACTATTTATATCTGTCTAGTATTAATTATCTTTTAGCATAAAAACTGTTAAACTTTAAACTTAATGCCATTCATGTAAGCTCTTTTGTTGAAAAAGAATACAGAACTAGAGTGCTCCTTCTCCAAGGAACCATTGAAGCCCATTGTTATGCTATCAAAAAGCTGATCATCATTAATTCCAAAGGCAATGCCTGACTGGTGAGCTCTACACAAGTAAGACCAGAGCCTTGCAAATGACAGCAATGATTCCCCCATCACAGAACATTTCCAAGAAAATGTAAAAGCTTCAGGGGTTTTGTAGGAAAAAATGTTTCTAACTTTTGCTAATTTTCAAATTATACAGTTTCAAGAGACCTTATTAAAAAAAAAAAAAATCTCTGAACTGCTCATGTTTAAAGACTGACTACAAGGTAATTCAAAGAGAGGTATTTCCACATTTCAGAATTTGTCCAAGGTAATCTGCAGATTCAAAGCAACCTTGTAACTGAGAGTATTTCAACAGAACTTTGGCAAGTGTCATCTTTTGCTCCTAAAAAATTCAGCTCCCCTCTCAAGCTTTGCAGCATTCCTTGCACATTATTTTTAATCAATATTAAAAATAGACATCCTGTGGGAATCCGTATATGAATAGAGTGAAGAGTGGTGTACTTAGACAAACCTGCACGTTTAAGCTTTGCACAAAGTATGACAAAATTTCTGAAATCTATACAAGCTTGGAAAAAGAAGACAGCAACAGCTCAAGAGTTTACTCTCCTGATTAGTGTATGAATTAAAAAGAAAAAAAGAAACCAACCCAACCCTATTATATTGACTGATGTACCAAAAATGACCAAGCATCAAATATTTTGATTATACTACTTAAAATAGAAGGTAGCTATGATAAATGCACAAACCCACTCAACTAAGATGCAAATACTCCAGCATACTACAAACTACTCATCCTTAAGCAGACACTCATGTTCTGGAAAGCAAGAAAAATAACAAACCATGTGATTTCTTGGCAGTGCTGAAGTGAAATACCAGTCCTTTTGCACTGGACTTGTTTGATCCCGTGGTAATTTCTGCACTGTGTCTGCTTTTAGTTTTTGTTGGTAGACAGTGGAGAGCACAATATACTCGAAAAAATAGAATTGACTTTGTTTTGTCTTAAAGGAGATGGCTCAGAAGGAACTCAGATGAGTTGTATCCTGAAAAGGAGTACTTCCCGTCCCTGTTCACAAAAGGCCTCAGGTGACAACTTCAGGCTTCTAAGTATCTGGGTTTTGGTGAAATGCATACATTCCTTCAAAGATAGCTGCGTAGGAGCTCCCTGGAGTCAGCTTTCCTCAAAGTCTGTCCTTAAAACAGGAGTTTGCGTCCTCGTCCTCACTAGGAATATATTTATTTGTTAAAACACTACTTATTTAAGATGGACTTGTACTCAGGAGAGTTTTCTGAAAATATATCCTGAAATACTGAAAACATTTGAATCCTGAGCATCTAATTCCCAAAGCAGCATGGTCACTTAAATTATTTTACCATTCAGTTTGGAAGCAGTTAAGGGTTCTGGACATTCCCAATCTGACCAGGAAATTGCAGAAGAAATCATCCATTGCTTCAGGTACTTCACACACTGATTTCTCCGAAGTCAGAACTGATTGTGAAGTCTGAAATTAAATTTTGATAACTGTTATTAAACTTACAAGAGAAAAGTCATGATCATAATTTCTATTTCTGAAGTCAATTAAAGCTACAGATCTACTGGAGTACAGCTCAATGTTTCCCTTGTCTTTATGGATCAGATGTGTAATCATTGATCCTTCCAATGTCAAGGTTTGTGAAAGGTTAGGAAGAAAACTCAAACCCCACCTTATTTAAGCAAGTATTCTGAACCTGACACAATGCGGTAGAGACTTGAAAGTATTCTAACTGATGGATGATCTGTCACTTTCTACCAGAGACAAAACGTTAGTTCTCATACTGCTGCACCCTTCAGTAACCTCCGCAACTACAGATGAAAAAAACCAGTACTCATCTAACAGAAAATTGAGAAGTCCAAAGTGATGGTAAAAAGGCTTAGAGTCTTTCTGTAATGCTGCAAGCAATGGAGAGACAGAAAAAACTGCATCTCCATCACTAGATCTCTCAGCAATAAGTCTCAAAGATCAACTCTCTTCTCTCAACATCCCTATGAACACTGAAGAAGCTGCCAGACAACACTGCTACAAGTGTTAGCAGAACGCAGATGGTGCTCCAAGGCTTCACGTGCAGCTCCTCCAGCGCCATCAAGACAGACAGCCCTGCAGATAAGGTCAGCTCCTGGGTCAGGCACAGTTGCCAAAAGCAGAATCAAAACAAAACAGAGCAATCCTACTACAGAGAGAAAAAACCCTATCCCTTCTATAGCTTTCTGGGGCAATGCAAACCTCTTCCCTTCACCCAACTCCATTCAGCCCACTCAGCACACAGCTTGATATGCAGCTCTCCCAGTGAACGCAAGATTCAAGGAGGTACTGAAAAAAGGAAAAATGGACCCCAATCGGACACTACTGCCCACAAAATGCGTTGAAGATAACCAGATGAGAGAGACTGCCATGGCTCAACAGCCAAGGAGGTGGCCTGCATTCTGAAGTCAAATGGACTGCAGTGACTTGACGTACCTCAATATGAGGGTCTCTGCATTTGGGGACTCCACATGGGCACAAAGCCACAATGGGTCTACTCAGCAATGCAGTTACCGGGACAAGCTACTGCACTGCACGTGCCTCTCCGCGAGAGACTATAAAAAATGCCGCCAAACTGAAAAAAATTCCAGTGAGAGATTTATCAAGACATGCTAAAGGGTGAAACTACAAATCATTTCCTCCACGCATTTAAAAAAGGATCTGTAGGCCAGGGATTTCTGATAAGACCATTCATTTATGGCTTATTCATGCCCTTAGTGGGAGCTCTATCACCATGACTGCATAAATTACCTGGAGATAAAGGTATTTCTCTTGATAAAATAAAAAGACTGCAAAGATCTCAAAGCATTTTGTGTAACACCGAAAATGTTGCCTTCAACCCAAGCAGCCTACCTCATATAAACAGGAAGGACTGTGCATGTACAATTGAGGCCATTAACACTGCATTAGGACTGATATAGTATGCCAAGTGCAATGTAATATTTAGCATATTTTCATTACTGGAACTCTAGTACCAGACAGGTCTATTCTCTAATTGTGGTGATAAAAGAACCAGAGAGTTCATGGGCAGACATGCAGCTGCAGCCCCTGGCTTGCTTTTTCTCTTTCTTTATTCCAAGTGAGGCAAATGTTGCTTGTAGTTTTCCAAACACATCTATAAAGCTGGTCTGCAGAAGAAGTGACACAGCTCGATTCCCTTAATAAATGGAAATATGATAGGAATTCATTCCATCCATGCAGAAGAGAATTTATTAGCTAAGGTACCAGCACTGAGAATCAGCCCAGGAACCAAAGCTCGAGTGGGGAACAATATAGGGGAAAATGAATTCAGTGTAAGAGGCACAGTATCAGAACAGGGCCTCTGGAAACCAGAACTAAACTCCTGGCTCTTCTGCAGACTTTGAGAGTGATACTGGGCCAACCACTTGCTTCATTTTAATTGTAACCATGGATGACTACCAATAGAGTGGAATGAAAGTAATTTTTTTGTATATATTTAGCTATTTGTAAAGGAGGAAAATGCAATCAATTAATATAGTGCAAACAGACATCCTATAGCAGCTCTATGGACAAAACCACCCTATTAAAGGATTCTGACCATGATGTCAAAATAAACTAAATATTTGCTTCGTTAAGTATTTGTTAAATATGTCTTTAATTAAAGTACTGAAAACATTTTGGGCCTAAGGACTCTAACTACGGCCAGTAAAATAAATTAATTGCTAAGAGCTTAACTTCAGAAATTTTCACAATACTCATAACAATTTCTGACCACTGAAGAAATATGAATGTCAAATAAATTAATCATTTCTCTGGAAAGCGAGATAAGGTGTTCTTGAAAAGCTAACTACATTTCAAAAGAACTCAAGGATCTTAACACCTTCAAACAAGTTAAAAATATCAAACAGACATGAATGTCAGTGTTACTTCAGATTATCACTTCAGACATTAAGACTCTGGAATAGACGTCTAAAAGCTGTAACTACTGAAGACAGTTTTCCAACCAGCTTTCTTCTCCGTGTGTGGCTTTACAGAAAGTCTGGATCCCTTTCCTAGGGTCCCTATCAGCCAAATATTTTCTTTCATATAAGTCAGGTCAGGACTTACAGAATATTCTGAGCTGGAAGGGACCCACAGGGATCATCAAATCCATACGCAAAATACTTTTTGCTTGTGTTTCAAAATAAGGTATATTACCTTAAATCATCTCAAAACAAGAAAAACAGAAAAAAACCTAATGAGTTGTGCTCCAGAAGGACAAGTGGTGACTAGAACAGGCAGAGCAGGCAGAATCCCTGCTCTCCAATGCATGGGGTGCCCAGCACAGCTGTATTTTGAGTCAGCTGCCATTTTACCACCAGACTAGAGGGAAATGATATTTAGAGATTAGAGCTCCATCACCCTCATTTCCCTGTTGGGATCCAAACAAAAACATGAACCAGCTGCTAAGGGAGCCTCACCAAAGTCCTTAAAGACCAGTAGTTTCCCCACACCCATGCAGAGACCCAGAAGGAAAGAAAACATGCTTCAATATCCCCCTGCAGAAAACCAGCTTTAATGCCTAGACACCGGTTCTATTCTTGCTGAAGGTGAACAGCACCATCTCTCATTTGCCTTGTTTGCTCTTCTTCATTTAGTAAGTAGTGCTGATTACTTTAGAAGGCACTTTGAAAATAAGCATTTTTCTCAGATTTTCACTGTTATACTTGACCTTCTTACAGAGCATAAAAGAAACTGTAGTTACTTGGTTTAGAAACTGTGGATATTTTTAGTATCTTCAGTTGGAAAATATCAGATACTAAATATTTTTTGATGGTCACTTGATCTGTGCCTTCTCTATATAATTTCTTTACCAAAGATTTGCATCTAGCATTGAAATGCAATCTGTAATATGAGATCACACATACAAGTTAATACAAACAGCAAATATACACAATCACTGAAAACTATCAGAGTAGCTATTCCAGGACATGGTTCTTAAATCATTTCACCTATTTTAGCCAGAATTACAAGCTTATAACTGAAAACATGTACCATGTTTATTTATGCTGTGAAGAAGACAGCCTCCTGCTGTGCTTCTTAGCTCGGGGTTTGGGTGTTGATTCAATATTCATTCACAGAAGACAGTGCTTCTAACTCAGGTCACCAAAAGCATTTGCTGCAGCATTTGGTTTTTCCAGTGAATTAGTATCAAACCACCCAGTCACTGAGCCCCACAAAATATACAGTAAATCGTTAGGAAAGCTGTCAAGGAACTAGCAAGTGTATTAGAACATTTTTCTATTCACGTCTTTCTCTCCAAAGGCTGAAAATATTATTTCAGTTTCAAGATTATGGAAAAAATGAGGCCTCCAAATAACAGGTCAAGCAGCAAGAACGCAGACACCTATTAGCATAAACTCAAAATCAAAGGGAATTTGGGTCTGAGCACACACATTCTTCAGAGGTTTTGAGGAAAGGTTAACAGTTTCTCCAGTTGGATTAAATGGGATATACATGAACATACTGCTTCTCCCCACTCTGGTTCAACAAACCAATGAAGAGGTAAAAGATGATTTAAATATTCCACTGTCAAAAGATCAATAGGTTAAAAATATTCTTCCTTTCTTTTCACCTTCTATTTTAACTCACACAGTGAAACAATCATAACCTCAGTTATCCCTAAAGAACACAAATTTCCCCTACTTCCTTAACATTAAGCATGTTCAGTCTCAAACACTTCTGCCATATTTCCATTCATTTTCAGGCATATTCAGTTTCAATGCACATAAAACTCTGGTATTGCCAGTTTCCATTCCAACTTTGATCTAAAATACAAAACTGATCTGTTGATATGCACTAGTGCAGAAGAAAATGCACGTTTTCCCCTCCATTTTGATGTTAAGAATCATTCACATCCTTTGATCTTTTCTCTATTAATCATTTACTTTTGCAAAACAAAGACTGTGACTGTACTTTTCTGGTGAGGCTACAAGACAGTGGTGATATCAGAAACACAGCAGGGGAAAAGCACTTTTCCGTTAGATTGTTATAATCTAGTAAATCCAGGTAAATCATATTTTGAAAAATGCAATATATAAACCCCATTGTGTAGCTCTAAACTGTGACATGAGTGCTTTGAAATCAAACTGTAAATGTAAGGAATGTCGAAAAATAATGGTGTGAAACGACAGATAATTAATATTTTGATTTAAGTGCAACAATCCATTCTTTATTTTTAATAGATGAATAATCTCTTTTAGCAAAGTATTCAAGTAGCACCTTTTGTGGATCTTAAGCCTATGCAGTTTCTTTTCTGTGCCAGATCTGATGATATTGTCATTCAGTCTACTCAGATAAAGAACAAACCCTAAAATGCTGATGCACTATAATAAGATTAATATATTTTAAATAACCCATCTATATATTTGCAATATCGGGTTGTTTATGGAACATAAAATGAACAGAAATTAAATGAAGATGAAACCCAGGACTTTCTTGTCTTTTCCACCCTGGCATATGTTTACTCCTAGAAACTTATAAACGAATAAGGGACAGTCTTTCCCACACAAATATTTAAAAATTCATATCAATTATGATGTGTACATTTCAAGCTACTAATGCAAACTGAATTACAGACTCTAAAAAGGTTTAGGAAGTTCTTACTAAAATTTCAGCATCTTCAGCCTGCTCTTGAATAGCCTGTAAAGCCTTGGACAGATCCTCCTCCTCCTCCTCCTCCTCCTGAAGACTAAATTCATCATCTGCAGAAACCTAAATGAAATTATGTAAAGTTTGGTATTAACATATTTTATGCATCTTTCTTTCACAGTACCACTGTTCCCACTCCCAGTACAACTGCTGAAAATAATCCCCTTCTTGTTAAAATACCACTTTGCCACATTTAAATAGAATATATATTACTGAAATATTCATTATAAATTATCTGAAGCATCTAAATAGAAATACCTGTATCCTAAAAAAAAAAAATTAATGTTCAAATAAAAGTTTTACATAACAAATCAACCAACACTAAATCTTCCCTTGAAAAGTGAGTGCGTTCCTACCATCACCACAACTTCTGAGAGGAGATTCGTGTCATTTCTCTGAGGATGTTTACGCGACTGATGAAGTAAAACAAAACAATGATACACGAATACCAAACATATCGGGACATTATCAATTTATAAGTTACCTCTTCACATTGATAATCATCTTTAGAGTCATCTGTTATGGTAACGTCTGCAGGTTTTGTTAAGTCTGAAACAGCTGATGCATGTGATGAGTTCCAACTTAGAAAAAAACATCCTAACCAACCATCTCTAAAGCTGTTCTCACCACCTTCACCCTTGTTCTTTTTGACACAAGACTTTCAACTTTCAAGGCTTCTTTCAGCCTTGAGGTGAACAAGCCCAGCTCCAGTGAAAGCTGTGTGCAAAGAGACAGAATTTAGGCTTAAGTTCTTATAGCAGGTTTGAAAGTCATTAAAATTTGACCCATCAGATCTCCCAAAGTCCAAAGCCGAGCACTGTTCCAAATTAAAACAGCAGCTAAATTATGCTCTCGCCCAATCATCAGCTTTGAGAGGGGTCTTGCTGCACTGGGACTGCCACAGTGTGCAAGTCTGGAGTTGGCTTCCTGCCAAGTCTCCGAAACTCGACAACAGGGTCTCCTTCCCAGAGAGGGAAGAAAAAAAACGACAAAAAGGAAAACCAGGCAGCCAAAGTTCTAGCAAAAATATATATATATATTATGTATAAAACAGAGATATACAATGAGAATTTTTTATATATATATATATATATATAAATAAATAAATAAATAAATCTATGACCCCAAATAGCTTCCCGAAGTTGAAGGGAAGAGGGGGGGGGAAGGGAGAAGGGAAAAGGATAAAATAGGGTGAAAAGGGACAAATAATAAAACAGATCTACACAATCTAAAAACCCAGCAAAGCTGAAGAATTGGCAAGAGCTCACCACTTCCCTTGAAAGAAAGCAGTACGCCTGGACACAGCCCAGCACTCCCCCCTCACGCGTGGCCGATAGCAGCAGTTACTGTAGGCCTCAGCTCCAGATAAGCCAGGCCCAGACAGGGACCACCGTTCTCCAACCTCGCCGGAAGAGAAGAGAGCGAACTATCTTATCAATGCCTTATTTATACCCTAGGTTACGTAAAGGAATAGCATGGAATACTTCCTTGGTCACCTTCCTAGTTCCTTCCTGGTTACAAGCTGGTTTCCAGGAAGGCCTAGACTGAAACCATCACACACAGGCTTTATGTTTCCCAGCATAACTAACTTCATGCTCTCAGAGAACAGCCTTTTTAGCAAATTCAGATGCACAAGTTCAAACACGAACACTTGAGACCAAACACTAAAGAACCATTTACCAGAGGTGATACAAACGCCTTAATAATCACAACACATCTACAAGGACCTTTCAAAATGTAAAAATTCATTTGGAAATTATCTACAGCGCCTTCAAATGCCTTAGAGTTAAACTTTTCATAAAAAATAACTATGAATAGTCTAAAATGAAACCCAAATAAACATCTTTTCATCCACTAGCCTCACAGCCCATGAAAGTACAATAAAATTTTTTGCAAGATGCTGTTTGTTGACAGTTTCCCTAGGAAATCAGTTAGCCTACAAGTGACCCATGTAAATAAATCAGGAATTAACTTCCAAAGAAAAGAAAAGCTGGCAATTCAGTACTTCACAGACAGAGGAAAAAAAAAAAAGGAAAAAAAAATACATGATTTTCCAGCTGTGCACCAAATTCCTTAAATCTGCATTATTCTCCTAAAAAAAATGGCCTTTTGCCGTAGCTCTCACACTCTGCAGTTCTCCCACTACAATATATACGTAAAGATACAAAATATATGTCAAATTATCCTCTGCATTGAAGACCCCATGATCACAGCATCAGGAAACTATCAGTTCAATTGTATCCATCTCGAAGGTGAACAGCTGAAGGTCATGATCCCTTGATAAGTAAAAAACTCTCAAATTCTGAGGGTTTTTTCCCGAATTTTCTAGTGACTGGACTGTCCTTGCAATCCACTATGGTCTAAACTAATACGTCACTGCAAACACTGTGCACAGACTAAAATATCACTTTAAAACTCCTGGGGTTTTTTACCTTTTTTTTTCTAATATTATAGTTAGGTGCACTATAAAACAGAGCAATTACTTTTAAAAACTACTGTATTTCCCAACAAAGAATATCAAATCTTACTTTTAAACACATGTCCCGAGGCAGTGTATTTTTAAGAACACCACAGCCGTGCTGTTTCACTAAAGTAGAAACTGAGGCACAAGCTGGAAAAGGACATTCCTCCACTTTTTTAAGTTACCTTTATATTGGCTTACAACTTAATTTTACCAAGGCAAGAGAAAACAATGTACAGCAGGGTGTAACAGGATTCTTTAGCCTCTAAAACAAAGCTTGGAAAAGCTTCTTGATTTGCAGCTCGCAGCTAGAAAAGTGAACAGATAAAGCTCATCTGGCAAAACTAGAATTTGGGTCATCTGACCAAAAAATTGCACATTTGAAAGCCATAAACTCCCAAGATAATTTCCTACAACTCAAAGGCGGTAAGAATCAGGGGGTTTTTTGCTCTAAGAGCTACAGCAAACAAAGTTGTGTCTAGGTTACTGTATCACAGCCCTTATAAGTTGGTTATACTCAGTACAAACTACATGAATATTCAGGCACTTATTTTGTGGTAGGCACTTGGAAATTAAAGAGCACCTTTTCCAGGAGCACACTGGGACAGTCTTAATAACAAATCTTTCGCTCCTCCGTAGGTATTTCACCTTCACTGATCAACAGCTAACACTAAAGAGGGGGCAAGAGCCTTTCAGGTCAGGAATTTAACCCTTGCTCTGGCTGCCCCAGGAGCAGCGGAGGATGCCATTCCCTGCTTTCCCAAAGGGCACTCGGGGACCCTGAGCTTCAGCCCGGAAAGCAAACACCGGGTTACAGTGAGCAGGACCCCGCTGCCTCTGCAGGGTCAAAACCCCAAACCCCACATATTCATTGAATCGTTAAGGCTGGAAAAGTCCCCTAAGACCATCCAGTCCAACTGTTAACCTACCACCAAACCCATATTCATCACCTAAACCATCTCCTCATGTGCCACTTCCACACGGGTTTTTTAACACCTCCAGGGATGGCAGCCTGTGCCAGGGCTCGACAACCACTGCAATGACGACATTTCTCCTAATATCCGAACTGAACCCCCCCGGCACAACTTCAGGCCGTTCCCTCTCCTCTCCCTTGTTCCCTGGGCCAGAGCCCGACCCTCCCCAGGCTCCTCCCTCCCGTCGGGGAGTTGGAGAGAGCGAGAGGGTCCTCCCTGAGCCCCCCAAGCGCCCTCAGCCGCTCCCGGTGCTCCAACCCCTTCCCCAGCTCCACTGCCTTTCTCTGGACACATACGGCCCATTTTCAGTTTCCAGGGACAATAACCCACAAGAAGAACCAACAAGGCGGTGGCATTTTTGGGTTCCCTCCGACCCTTACTCTTACACTCCCCTCGCCCCGCCCGACACCCCCCCCCAGCAGCCGCCGGGGCCGCCCCGCCTGAGGCGGCTGGAGCGCTGAGGAGACGGACCCCGTGAGGAGGGGAACCGGCACCCGCAGCCGAGGAGAAGGAGGGTGAGGAGGAAGGGGGAGAGACTGGGGAGGAAGAAGGATACTCTGCAGGCAGAACGCCGCCTCAGAGCCGGCCGCCTCAGAGCCGTGGCCGTGGCGTTGCCGGGGGCGACCTCTCGCGAGAAGAGGCGCTCGCGCCGCGGCGGGAACAGACCCCCGGTTTAATTTCATTTAGTTCAATTCAATTAAGTTTAAGTTAAATCAGCTGTTTTAACTCGAGGCGAGGCTTCCTCGCTAGTTTGGGAGCGGCGCCGCGAGGGGCGCGCTGCGAGGGCGGGGAGTCTCTGGAGGTTTCCAGGGCGTTCCCTCGGGCCCGGCACCTGTGACCCCTCTGGTAAACACTCACTGCCCTTCCTAAAAGGAAGGAAAACAACAGGGGGTGTGGGGGGAAACTGCTTCGAACTCCTGAGAAGGGACTAAGTTCTTCTTTAGAGAGAGCATCTATGGAGCTGGAACAGGTCTTTCACCTGAGCTCAGTCCCGAAGCACTGACTGCCTAAATTCTTTCAAACTATTCTATAATTCTATATTCGAGTTTAAGAGCAAGAGTTTTCCCAGGCAAAAGTTGGGGAAAGCGGCTTATATTTGTGGAGAACACACGTTATGGCTCTCTGGAGTTTGAAATAAAGTTGCGGGATTCGACAAAAAAAATTCTGTTCGTTTTTCTTATTTTAAATTAGGTTAGAGGTCCCAATCCTAATTTTTCAACGAGTTGAGCTAAGGGGCTTTACGTGCAATAGGAACTCGGAATCAGTGCTTGAATTCATGTGATGTAACAGAAAATAAGTGCTGAAAATATCCGGGGGGGTGGGGGGGAAGTAATCAAAAAAATACTAATAGCTGGGCTGACAGGAGAGGCACCAATTTTACTTGCAAGTTTGAAAAAAAAAAAAATCTAAAAATTGGAATATGAACTGAAGATCAGAGAAAATGGAAGTGGGTGAAACTGAGTTGTATAATTCAGCTCAGTCATTACCCGAAAGGCAAGATGCAATCGTGCGAGAGGGCCTGCTGCCTGTGGAACTATTACTTAAGCACTTTCCAGAGATGGTTACACAGGATTGCCATTCCTCTCCCAGGGCAGACATATTCCTGAGAAATGATGAGTACTTTGGCACTGTCAAACTCTCCAAATTGTAATAAGAGAACGGTGTTTGGGCACAAGATTGTCACAACAGTACAAAGGTGAGCAGAACTTTTGTATTCCCTGATAAATTCTCTCAAACACTACGTTGAGTTTGATACGTCAGGGCTTAAACTCATCTGGTTTCAAGACGTAGAAGGCAAATGCTGACATACCTTTCTTGGTCTTGATGGTTGGTGGGTTTTCTTTTTTAATACTCTTCAGAATAAAGTGATGTGACTAGAGCAACACTCTTCCATCATATCCAACCCAACAGAATAGTCCTGCAGTCCAGCAGAGCATGTAAAAAAAAAAAAAAATAAGCAGAAGTAGCATCATAAAGTACAACATCCATGACTCAGTACTTCCAAACTGCAGATTTAAAAGCTGATAATGCAGTTGGGATGGCTACAAATGAAGTTGTTTTCTCTTAGGGAAGTTCCCAATTCCACCACAAATCACAAAGTGTAACTTCAATTGTATCATACAGGCAAGCACAGCTGATTAATCTAAGTTAATACTGCTCACTTCTCTCAGCAACAGGTTTGTTCAATTCTTTGTGTAAAGGCTGACAGCAAAAAAAATGCCAAGCAGTATCCTTCTCTCCCTTCTCTGAGTTCTCTGTCTCTGCTGGCCTAACTTCTCCCTACAAATTTTTCTCATGACTTCTCTATCCCACTAAAATATGGAAATGTATGGTATCCACAGTTGAAGAACACTGATGAAAGCTTAAAGAGGGCTCAGAGAGGTGCTTGAGAGAAGATTAAGATTAGAAAATAATTAATAATGAAAGACAAAAGGATCTTGGGCTTCTTGGTTTATTGAAAGAATAGTTAAAAGAGCTTGATTAAAGTGCACGGGTAATAGGTTTGGCAAGAAATGCTACGCAGAGGTAGAACCAAGAGAGTAGTTTTAGATTAGATATTAGGAAGAGATTCTTTACTATGAGGGTGGGGAGGCCCTGGCACAAATTGCCCAGAGAAGCTGTGGCTGCCCCATTCCTGGCAGTGCTCAAGGCAAGGTTGGACAAGGTTTGGAGTAACCTGGGATAGTGGAAGGTGCCCCTATCCGTGACAGGGGGCTGAAAAGAAATGATCTCTAAGCTCCCTTCAAACCCAAACCTTTCTGTGATTCTATGATATCTAGCTATGTTGAAAATTAACTCAAACTACAACTAAAAGCAAAGAGCAGTTTTTTTAACAAATAACTATTTTACTGATTTTCAAGTATAATTCCAGGAGGATTTTAGCAGTCACAGAGTTCTTTATAACAGTTATGTTCCACATTCAGACACCAGCTATTTCAGGACATCCTATGGCTCCCATTTGCAAAACAGTCAGACATGATCAGTGCAGTGGTACTTCATGAAAAAAGATTGAAGTTAGATTACCAATTCTGCTATATGTGGAGGTTTGCCAGTATCCTAAAGGATCCATAGAGTTTGTTTACTTTTAAATAGGAGTCATTGGTCACAGAGTGTTATTTCCTGAAGATTTAAAGCTTTGTTTCGAAACGGTGCTTGGTTGGCAACTTCTAAACTATTTATGTCATCCCATTGTGACTATATAAATGACCTCATCGTACAATCATTTTCCTTCAAGGGGCATAACAAGCCAACTAGTTTCTCTCCACCTTGTTCAGAGCCGCCTGCCATAAATACATTGTATTTGGTTATTGCTAAGCTGGATTCCAAGCGCCCCATTCACCCTGCTTTATAGCCTCCTAACAGTCTGGGTTATAAATGATTGTTATCTCCCAAATGGCAGCAACTAGTGCTGTTACTGTATCCCATAACTTCTCGTGACAAAGACACTGAAGCAGCATCTGCTGTAGCTTGAGCATTTCATTAGACAGGCTGTTTACTTTTCTTACAGAGGAAGGGCTGAGCCAGGTACTTTAGCCAGACCTATCAGCCAGATAGATCAGCCAGACGAGTCAGACTATTTGAGAAAGATCATTCATGAAAACTGGATAAACTAGAAGGCTCCAGAAGTGTTGCCTGTGCTCCTGTGATAAACAAAGTCTCGAGTTTCTATAAGTTTCAAATAATAGTTTATTATATGGTAAAAGCAAGCAGCCGGCTGGGTGACAGAAATGGGACCAGTTTCCCAAATCTGCACACCCCTACTACAGGGTATATTTAGTATTTATCTTAGCTACTTCATGCATATTAATTATACCATATGCATATACATTCTACAGGTTTTTGCTAAGTATTATTTAATAGATGGGTTTTCTTACAGCTAAAGCTAAAAGGGTTGTCTCTACAACCGGTCATAATTCATGCATTCTTGGACGAACAGGCGCCTAAAGATTTAAAGTTCTACTATATTTTATTCTTAGGATAGTAAGGAGGTGTTAGGCCTCTTGACCTTGTAAGGGTCTGTTTTATTTCTTTATGGAGGTGTAATTAAGTTTTACAATGCGTTTGTTTTATTTTGATGTAATCACCCATTTGTTTCACGAATCACAATTATTTATATATCACACTCCCAAGCCCTAAGGGCCAGGTACTCTTTCCTTTATACCACCAACTAAAAGGCTGAGAGACTATCCTTGAATTCAGAGCAAAATATCTTCTCCTGCTGAATTCAACAAACAAACTGACTACAATTCTAACAAGCTGAGTTAAAAACCCAGGACACCCATGTGAGCTACTTTCAGTGACTTTCTCTCCTCTGCAGGAACACATCCAAAAAGTCCAGTATATGCACTTCATCACAACAGACAAGCAGCCAACAAAGAATTATCTGCCCCACTGACTCTCACACACCCATTTCTAATTGTTCTTCAGCACAGCTTTTGGGGAGAAAGGACAAGGCAATGTCACCCATTCAGCTTTCTGAAGGAGCACAAAGCATGGCCAGGAGCACCATAACAGCACTATTACCATTACAGTCAAGAGACCATTGTCCACACGGTCATGGTGGAGCACGGGCCCACAGCTGGAAGCCAGAGTGAGTTGGCAAACATCTTGTTCCAACTTCTGCTGTGCCATCTGGCTTCCAGTGAGGTGGCTGACGTTAAATGTATGTTCTCTGTATTACCATCTGGCAGCTGCTTGTACAACAACGGAGTAACATGCAGGATTTGGCTAACAGTTATCCTAAGAATCACATCAAGGATACTTGGAACAGACTTGGAAATGAAAATTGCTTACAAGGAAAATTTCGTTAACTGGTGGCATTACACACGCAGAGTATTGCAGGTGGGGAACAGGGAGTGGGAAGTTAAGTATGTAAAATAAGCACATGCAAAACATAAGCAAAGTTCCCATAAAAAGTTTCTAAGGGAAAGGAGGGGACACCCATGCAGGTTTCCAAAGGACACAAACATTGTAGCCAACAAAATGTCTGTTGAGAAGCATCAGCATTTTTGCTATGCTGTGGAAATACAGTTACTTTTCCAAAGTTAAAGAGATGCAGTACTTTTTTTTTTTACCTTTTTTTTGTTTTATTTCTAGCTGTAATGTTGTATGCCAAAAGTACTTCTGATAAAAGAAGGAAATTTAAGGAATTTGTTAGTACAAACACAGTCTCAAAG